CTTTGTAATTTGTTATTCATACATAGTTAAATAGTCAAAGTATTATTTCTACATCGATCATAATAGTCAAACAATTGCAACTAATGTGGGAGGAGGGAGTACTTTAGTTTTAGTTCATTGAGGAGGATCATATTCTAGCATAAATTTATACTTTTTTTATCCCCCCCCCTACTAGAGATGACTTATGAGTAAATTGGATCAAGTTTAGTTAGGGTTTAGTTCGTATCAATTTGGCTCAATTTTTAATCATGCAACAAATAATCAATTTGGGTTTAGATCATAATCAAGTCAATTGTGTATCTATTGCCAATTAGTTGTTAGTCCATACAAAATTTAATTAATTTCATGAGATCGATCAATTTTAAATTTAATCATCAAATTATCCAATTTCAAGTATAGTGTGAATTAAGACGAATTTGGATTGAGTTAGTTCAGCAAATTCTACTCTAATTCTTTTTCTAATATTGTAATCTAATTTCTTATTACATTTGCTACTATCATAAATTTGACGTAGATAAATGGATTTTGTAAAGAGTAAAGAATAATTAGGAGTATAGGTATGGACATATTGCCTTCTTTTCATGAATTTGTCCCTAATAATGCACCCATTTAATCAAATTAAACCCAATTCATTTGGGCAATTACATGTTAGCCCAAGTGATTGATAATTAAACAATTTAAAAACCGTCCATTACAATTAGTTAATAATGTTTTCCATTATTCAAGACACAAACTATAAATATAAGATCACAATGTAACTTGCATGTGAAGAAGACTTCTTTGCCTTTATATGACACTCTATTAATCCTTAACTTTATGCTTAAACTTCTCTTCTAAAGTCCTAACACAAACACAACCAATATGGCTTCACCCACTAGAGAACAATGTAAGATCTATTCATGTTCTCTACTCCTCATCCTTTTTTTTTCCGGTGAGGCGCTAGCAGCCCGGAGTACCCGAGATAGAGATAGGATCACCGCACTACCGGGGCAGCCGTTAGGCAAGGTGAATTTCAGCCAATATTCAGGCTATGTAACAGTGGATAAAAGGACTAATAGGTCCCTTTTTTACTGGCTAATTGAGTCACCATTAAGTGGTAAAACCAATTTGAAACCACTTGTACTTTGGCTTAATGGTGGGCCTGGTTGCTCATCTGTGGCTTATGGGGCTTCAGAAGAGGTGGGCCCATTTAGGGTCCAGCCTGATGGAAAAACACTTACTTTAAGCCCATATGCTTGGAACAAAGGTAAGTATTATTAAATGAAAACAATAAAAAATTATAATATTTCATATTATTTGTTTTGTTATATTATATATTTATATAGTTTGAAGATATGTATATTTTGTTTTTTTGTTTGGTCATTTTTGCTGATGGTGTTGTCTTTTTGTTCTTTTTCCTATTTTTTTGAATGTGAAGGTGTTTTGTTGATAATCTAGTTATATGAGTGGTTAGGTAGGGTTTTGGTGTTTCACACAAAGTGGCATTTCTTTTTCTAGTCTTCATATAATTGTGGGGAATAAGAGAATGTCACAAGTTGTGATTCATGATGAATTTTTAAAATAGAGTTTCATAGTTTATTATATACTGTAATAAAGAATACATGGTATATTTTGTATAGAAAAATGTTTTATTGATCAACTAAATTAACTAAATTCAGACGAATTTGTTTAATTTTATTTCATTATACAAGTATGTAAACAAAGACTTTATATGCCAAGTGTAGTGAATGTTGTAATAGTAAGTGAAAATAACTTAGTCTCTACTCTTAAACTCCTACTATTTTGTAATATGATTATAGTACAAGTCATCTAATATTAATGGGTTTCTTAACTATGATTCTGACGTTTGCTACAAAGTAATAGATGAATTATTGTTGTTATTATTATTATTATTACTATTTTAACTAAGATATTGTAAGTTACTATGAGGTGCAATTTTTATTGTCATATCATATTATCATCTAGTCGGTTTAATTAATGGATAAGTTGAAATTCGTGACCATTCAAAGTTGACCAGATGTGAAGTTAGTCATATTTTAATTTAACTCAAATTCAACAAGGCTTGAAACCTAAAATTATAACGACTCAAGTCGAGCTATTAGCAAAATGTTTACTCTATACTTTCTAAGAGAGTTAAATTTTATATATTTTAATTCTTACCAAGGGTTTTTTTTGAAAGGATGATGATAAAATTATAATTACCATGCGGCCATGCTAATTAAAAATCCTCCTTTTCTATCCTTATTCTCTTATTATGTAGAGGCCAATTTGCTTTTCCTTGATTCACCTGCTGGAGTTGGATTCTCTTATTCAAATTCTTCGGTTGATGTAGAAGAAATTGGTGATAGGAGAACAGGTATGTTTCCCTTACAATCCCGATTTGACAATTAAAGCTATTAGTACTGTAGTACAAATAACATGTTATCAAGTATTGCAATTAGTCATCACTAAATTAGTCTCTTACTTATAAACCTTCTAATACATATGTTCAGCTCGAGATACCTATGCATTCTTAATAAGATGGTTCAAAAAGTTCCCCGAATACAAGAACAGACCATTCTACATAGCCGGAGAAAGTTATGCAGGCCATTACATTCCCGAACTCTCCTTAATCTTAGCTCGTTTCAACAAAGGAGTTAAAAACCCTACCATAAACTTCAAAGGCTTTTTGGTAATACCTCGATCTTATTCATACATCTATGTTTGTGGGGTGAGAATCGATACCAGGATATCCTGAAATCGGGAGGGAAGCTCTAACCACTTTAGCTATCCCTCACTCTTATTATTATTATCTTCGACCTTATATTATAATATCATATTAAATATATTTAATATTGCAGCTAGGGAATCCAGTGATAGATAACTACCTAGACAATAAAGGATCATTTGAGTATTGGTTCAATCATGGGTTGATATCAGATGCAACATACAAGGCACTAAACAAGTATTGCTTGAATGACTCGATATTGTTCCCAAAGGGTGAATGTAATGGCGCACTTTTCAAGGCTTACTCGGAGTTTGGAGACATCAATCCCTATGACATTTATGGCCCTGTTTGTGATGATCTTTCCTCCCTCCACCTTCACTTTGTACGCTATATTCCTCCTTTCTCTCTCTCTCTTTTTTTAATTTTATAAAGTATCAATTAGTATCTACTTGTACAATTGTATTGATTATTCCCTACTCGCCGTATATTATTACATCTATTTCACAATATTTATATCATTTTGACTTTTTTTTTTACTTATTTTGATCACGTGTCTAGTCAAAGTAATATGTTGATAAATGTGTCCGGTCAAAATAATGCAACTGATAAATATCAGAATTGAAGTAATAATAAACAACTCGTGTTGTTTGTAACATATTTCAGCCCGATTGGGTCAAAACTCTACTCGAGCTTTGAATATGTTGAGTTGAAAACAGACTCGAATGTAAATTAATTATGTTTTTAAAACGTAACCATCTTTTAAATAGTATTTAATTAGGATTATATTACTGATTAGTCATTGGATTTATTCTCAATTTCTGTAGATTTACAAAAAGTAGATTTTAGGATATATTGACAAATAATTTGGTGAAATCATGCAGCCATTCAAGTACAAGGGGAATGATGATTGTATAGTGACATACACAATAAATTACATGAACAGACCAGAAGTACAAAAAGCTCTTCATGCTAACATCTCTGGTTCTATTCCTCATACTTGGACTGCTTGCAGGTTTGCATACCACACCAATTTAATCATAACTCTGATTTTTTTTTACTGCTTCATTCTTTTCATGCTAATTATGTAAGGGTCGATAAGTTCAGATAAAAGATCGGGTTTTCAGGTGAAAAGAACGAGGCCTAATGAACACTGGACTTTATATCAATTAGTTTCATTATATGTTTACTTGTAATAATCAGACATAAAACGCATTACTGAGTATAATCTCTGAGAGTATACAAGATGAATTTATGTGTTTTGGTTTTCATGCAATGCAGTGAAGTTGTTCGAAGCAGTTGGACTGACTCCCCGAAATCTATGCTTCCTATCTTCAAGGAACTCATAGCTGCTGGTGTTCAGATTTGGGTATTCAGGTGATTTTACTGATTTATGTATCCTTAATTTGATGTTATAAGCACTGTCATATACGGATTACTTTTGGTTAGAGTTAAAATCTGTTCTTGGGTTTAAATCGGATATGGATTAGTTTTGCCATGTCCACTTACTTGTTCTCATCGATTGGTCTATCATAAATGTAACTCTCTGCAGTATCAGAATTTACCCTTTACATACCAGGAATGCAGTTAACTGATTCTTAGAATTTTCTCCTTACAGTGGAGACACAGATGCGATTTTACCACTAACTTCAACAAGATTTTCCATCAATGCCCTTAATCTCAGTACAGTTACAGAATGGTATCCTTGGTATGACAGCGAAAAGGTCAGTGCTAACAATTTCTGTTAAATTACAGCACTACAGCAGCATATAATTGTGCAGATATTATGTTCTGTTAGTATTACTCAGACTTTCTGAAATTCTGGTTGACGATTTCTGAATATGGTTTTGACTTTCTGTTTTCTTTCCCCTTTGGAGGAAAACAGGTTGGTGGATGGAGCCAAGTATATAACGGATTAACCTACGTGACAATTAGAGGTGCAGGGCACGAGGTTCCATTGACTAGACCTCGACAAGCATTGCTTTTGTTTCAACAATTCTTAAGAAATCAGCCCATGCCCCAGATTACAATTACAGATTAAGCTTTGTGACACCATAGAGTTTGCTACAAATTTAAACTATAGTAATGTATGATAGAAAATGTATCATTTTTATTATATTGTGTGATCTTGATAGGTTAAGTAAATTGTATGATCCCATATATATGAACTCAATTATTAGTCAAGAAATGAACCAGGACTTCATGCTTTCTGTTTGTGTCAAAAAAGAATTTTTGTTAAACAAATACAATTTCCATGTTCTTTGTACAGCAAAAATAATATAGTCCTTTTTAATCTCGCTAAGCTCCTTCCTTTTGGAGTTGAACAAACTTGGGTGAATCATGTTCCCCAAGAGAAAGGCCCCTATGTACTCATGGACTCCCTTTCAATTGATTAATGCAATGCTTTGCTCGGCTTTCTTCTTCAAAAAAAAAAAAAAAAAAAAAAAAAAAAAAAAAAAAAAAAAAACACTACTATAAAGTTGGATTATGGAAAATTGTTTCATCATTTATATAGTTTATCAAAAATACTCAAAATCGATGTAGGTAGAATCGTTAGAATTGCTCTGATTGCTGTCACTCCCGGTAGAACACTCAGTAACCTTCTTCTCCATGCCAGGGGGAGGTGCTTCCTTATTAGCAAACCGCGAAAAATCTACAGGATCAGGGACATGAGGAGGGGCAGCACATCTAACAAGTGCCCAATTCACCCCTTCAAAGAAAGGATGTTGCTTGATTTCAGTAGCACCCCTTTTGTAAGCAATCCTTTTATGAGGCTCCTTAACCAAAAGTCCACGAATGAGATCGCGGGCCACATTGCTGACATTTGGGTTGTCCGGGAACCTCAAGGGTTGGCCAACGACGTTGAAGAGGGTAGCCCGGTTTCCTTGCCCTTTGAAAGGGGTGGTACCATGTAGGAGCTCATATAGGAAAATGCCAAAGGTCCACCAGTCTACAGCACTACCATGCCCCTCCCCGCGGATGATTTCAGGGGCAAGGTACTCGTGTGTACCAACAAAGGACATAGACCGGACATTGGTGGGCTCTGCCATCAACTCCGGGAGTGATCCATTTACAAACAGACCAAAATCTGATTTAGATTTTCTGTTCTTTTTGCCAGGGAGTATGCTGCGAGGGAAGAAGCTTGAGGGTTGCATACACCCCTGCACTGCCAATTCCTCGTTGAGGATCCCACCACCTCCACTTCCACCACTACCACCACCTCCATTAGACACATGAGAAGAGGAGGACTTGACAAGGGTTGGGCTGACCGAGCATCGGAGAGAAAGGTCAAAGTCTGAGAGCATGATATGACCTTCTTCCCTTACTAGCACATTCTCTGGCTTTAGGTCTCTATATACAATTCCAAGCATGTGTAGATACTCCAATGCTAATAGTACTTCTGATGCGTAAAACCTGCATTCAACATGAATTCACAATATAATTCTTAGTTCTCTTGATGGTTTTAAAACATGATTATGAACAAAGAAGTTAAGCCTAGAATGTAAGTCAAAGAAGTAAATCGAGCTAGAAAAAGTATGATTTAAGGCCACTATAACATAATGTTTTACTACCTCCGTTTCTTATTATGTGCAACAAAGGGATTTGTGTCCTTTGTTGCACATAATAAGAAACGGAGGTGGTAGAAACATAAGATCAGAAAAACTTGTTAGGAAATAGCTAGGAAAAAGTACTGACCGAGCAGCTTCCTCAGAGAAAAACTTGTTAGGCTGCTTCTGTCTGAGGGAATGAAGATTACCGCCACTGCAGAACTCCATGACCAAGCAGTAAAACTTATCGGTCTCAAAATGTGTGTACAATGTTGGCAAGAAAGGGTGATCAAGCAAGCCAAGAATCTCCCTCTCTGTCTGCGCCCTAAGCAACTTGTTCCTACTCGCGAGTGAAGCCTTATCCATGACTTTCATAGCAAAATGGGCGCAAGTCCCTCTTAAATCAACAAGATAAACACTACCAATATCTCCATACCCAAGCCTCTTAAGGAGTCTAAAATGGCTAAGTCCTAAAGGAGCCTCTCTTGCATTTACTGCGTTTATAGCATCCCATCGCACATCCCCTCCTGTATGAGGCTTTAAGGGTGCAGAACTTGTGCTCTCTATGCTGTCACTTCGGTGGTGTTGGTGATGGTTACTGCTGTTGTTGCTGCTGTAGCTGTGACTGTTGCTGTTCATACCATCTCGCCTCTGAACTATCACGTCATGATTTGTGACCGGCCTAGGGGAGGGTATGCGACGTTGGTTCCCAGCCATCGGGTTATTAGACCCTGGCTTCCATATAGGTTCCAAATGTTTTTTCTGCTCCCGGAACTTGCTTTGAGCAGGACCTGTTGGTTTAGGCATCGAGGTTGGATCCATTGAGCCTGGTTCAGGTGAACTATAACCCGAGTCCATGCTGGTTTTCGATCCCCAATCAGGACTCATCCTTTTTGCTTCATATGAATCATCTTCTGATGACGGATAACTCATCTGTTACATTGACATCATACAAATATGAATTCTTTCAGATGATCACAAACAATTTATTTTTTTTCGAAGGACAAGAAATCAAAACAAAATTGCGTTTTTTTGCTTAACAATCAAAAGAAAAATTAAAACATTACCACGTAACAAAGATTAAAACATCGTTATATAATGTACCTATATATTAAGGGTGAAGATTTTACCAAGGCAAATATCGAGGAGCAATATATTCCAACCAAGTACAAATAACTTAGCAATGAACAATTATTCTCCGAAATAAATCTCTACGAAATGTTAATCATTACGTATACAAACAATAATTGTTATAATCCCTCAGAAAAATTCATTGTTATAAACAAACCAGTTAAATTTAGAAACTTGTTATGAAGTTGAGATTTCATAGGAGTCTAACAGACAAGAATAAACTAATTCAGAACACGTATATACAATGACATAAATAGACGTGTAACAAAATATAATTAGCTAAATAATAAAAAAAAAAAAAAAAAAAAAGGCAACAACAGGTAAATGATTCAAAGACCCTAACCTCAGAAGTATCAGCCCTCTCCACAGGCTTAAACGACGTCAGCGGCGCAACACAGCAACGCTGATTGAATCCCTGGTTAGGTTTTTGTGGAAACCACATCAATAATACAGTTCAATATGAAAGAATGATATAATGTTCAATATTTTTGGTAATTGGTAACTCTATATTTCTAATGTTTAGGAAATAAAATGCAGTTTCCTAATACATTTCATACATGCTACTGATGATACATGAAGTATTTCAATGTTTACAATTGCAGGCCTGGTGCAAAACATATCCACATCCTATAAGTGTGACATTTAGGAATAGAATTTGACAAGTTCTTTTTTTGTTTGAAATATTATTGATGTGAAATCATGTTCTATTAATTTTTATTATTAAGGCATAAGAAATGAAATTGTGCTGAGCACGTAGAATGTATCTAAAACGGCCAAATAAACCTATTTTTGACCAAATCCTATCACCTACCAAGAAGTCAAGAACCAACACTATGTTTTAATGTGGGTTTGATATGATCTAAATAAAAATTGAAAATCATTGTAGTTGGGATTTTGGATTTTATAATTCTTTTGGTATTTATTTATTATTTGGACAATAAAAAAAATCTCAAAATCTAACGCCTCACAATCAGGTAGTAGCTTTACCATTTAATCGGTCATACCTTGCTCATTTGCGCAAATGAGCAAATTGATTTTGCACTTATTACCTATTTGATGAATTTGCTCAAGATGTGCAAATTAGAAAAACTAACTTAGCTGAACAAAACAAATGTGATCTATCTTTTCAAATTCAAGAAACTTTGTTTTCTCCTTTTGAATGAGCAAATATGATAATCAATTGTATAAGTAATATAAAATGTCAATAATGTGCATACGGATTTAGGGGAAAGATATATTTACATTGATAAAGGTAAAGGTAAAACATTATTAGAAGTGAGAAGATGAAAAAAAAAACGTACTTGTTTCATCATTTAGAGTATCATCCTTAAGAATTAGAGAATAGATGGTCTCAACTAGTCACCCCATTGCATTCACCTCCTAATTGACATAAAAAATTTGTCAAACAATAATTTTAAAAAAAAAAATAAAAATATAAAAAAAAACAACCTAAATATTATTTCTTCTTTCTCAAATAAAATTATCTTGAGCAAGTTAGATATGGTACTTCTTGCAAGGATATCCATCAAATTTATGAAAATGGCCTCGTTTTACACTTTCTAATAAAAAAATTATATATTCCTAACCCACACGTATCTTAATACGTGTTTAGCTGTATTACAAAAGAATACACCTGTGGGCATTCAAAACGACAAATGGCAAAATATGTGCACAAAACACATAAATACGTCACACACAGGTACATTCAAGACATATATTGGACTTGACGTGTGTATATAAGTGTGGATCATGTGCCATCAGAGCATATTATGCCCAAGGTTATGTTTACGATAGTCAGGTTGCCAACCCAAGATTATACGAGTACAATAAAGCTTAGTATTCCATATTTAGAAGAACTTTTTCTAATAGTTATAATCCAATCGTGATTATAATAACATAATTGATGTTGAAACATACCATATCATGCCAAAATCACCAAAATGAAAAACAAAAATGGGAAGTAGAATTAAAGATTATGAAGAACGAACCATTATGCAAAGGCACAAGCAAAATTCTTAGAGCTTCATATAACAAACCCAATGATTAACATCCAACTTTTGTCAACTTTGTAAGGCTCACAAACAATGAGATAAATTAAAATTTTGGTAAATGATTTGTTTTGTAGTAATTGTCAAGAAATTTGGAAGAAAAAGGAAGTGAAAAATAAATTTTCGCTTTTTCGCTTTTTTTTAAAAAAAAATAATAATAAAAGAAAGAGAGAGAAAAAAAAGAGAGAGAGAGAGAGAGAAAAGGACGTGGTGGGATGAAACAATTGTGGAAAGGAGAGGAGAATAATTTTAATTAATTTCATAATAAAAAAAAGATTAATGGATATCCGTTGAAAGCTGCCAAATAGTGGTGGGGGAATGAGAATTTGAGATTTTGTGGGATTCCCCCACCTCTATTTTAAATAATTTTTTTTTATTATTTTAATTATGATTTATGACCATATGATTAGGCATCTTTATGGATTATTATTAGTATTTTTTAATTTAACTTATAACGTGTTTTGTGTGTGGCTGATCACATCATGTGGTCGTTTGTAAAAAAATAAAGTAACTCGTATAACATTGATTGAGTAACCCTTTAACACTAATGAAATACCCCATGGATTATGATGGCCGGTTACACAGTTTGTCCAGTCACATATAAGAATTGTGTTTAACTTAATATTTAGACTTTTAATACATTTCAAAATTGTTTAATTGCACTCTTTCATTAATGCTTATATTGAGAATCTAAAAGGGTTCAAATTGGTATTGTTGATGTTTTTTTGTCTTTTAGAACCTTATTATTATGACTATCCACAAGTGAGTTGTTTCGTACTGAAGCAACTAGTATATTAGCCAACTATTAAAGTTGCTCTAAGCTGAGTAATTACTTACTACGAAGTAGGTACTAGTCAATGCGTGCGTGAATTATAAAACTTCTCCAAATAATAATAACAAATGTAATTTAAAAAATAAAGTCCAAATAAAAAAAAAAAAAAGTTTTATTCATCCAAACTCGAGCATTTGAAAGTGATTTTTGGATACTCAGAAACAGGGTTTTGTGTAAAGTATTTATGGAACCAGGGAGAATAATTGATATGGGAATCCATCCTCTTAGATGCTTGCCCTGCCTTGAAATGGAAACACGGGCATTCGTTAACATCTCTTTAATACTACGTATTACGAAGTAGCAAGGAACACTCATCGGAAAAATTCCATATTGTGACAAACTAACAAAGAGAAGTTTTAGCTTTCTTAGATAACAAAAAGTTTGAATTTAAAGCACATTTTTAGCGTACACAAAACGAATTGAAATGCACTGAGCTAGAGATCCCTGAAAGCTGAGACTTTACTCTTACATTTGGTTGATGGAATCTCAACTGATTTCTAATGTTACATAATTAGCAAGAGCAATAAATGAGTAGAGTACATAGAGAGAATCATTGATCCTTCTACCTCTCTTTGAGTTCCTGTTCAAACTGTAACAGCTTTTCACGCAAGGGTTGTAAGAAAGACTTCAAATCCTTGGTAATACTCTGCTTATCTTGGTGTGGCAAATCACTGCCTCCACTTATATTCACGGTAAGCTGCAAACATACATGGCAAAAGAATTGTCAGAAAATGGTTATAAACCCAGCTGAAATGGCTTCAAGTAGGGAGCACAAACATTCTCACACAGAATCAGCCATTTGACACAGAGAAGAAAATAAATAACTAAATGCTTTATTAAAAAAAAAAAAAAAAAAAAAGCCCAAAATAGAGTGCTCTAACAACAAATACTTGCTACAACCAGCAAGTTATGACATAACCACCTACACAAACTTGTTGGGACCATACTAATATAGTATCAACTTTTTTACAGCTGTTTACACTAATCGTACATTTGGATAACAATGGTACAAGGAAGGAAGAGGAGGGTAAAGGGAAGGGAAGGAGAGAGGATTTATTAGGTTTATCAAAAGAGAACGGAAAAATGGAACCCTCCCATAATTCCCTTCCCCTTTACCCATTCTATTTCCAAATAATAAACTGGATTCCTTACTCCCCTCCGTTTCTTCCAAAATCTTAATCTATATATATTTCGTATTAATTAACAAGGGTACTTTAAAATACCAAATTCCTCCAGGAGGTACCTCTAAGGCTCTAATAACTGCCATTTAAATGAAGCCAAATAGCTCATTGCCCCAACCCTGCATGAATTTCCGAAGTACTTCCACAACTATTATAAGTTATAACTATGTCAACTTCTAAGGCATCATAACATTCATAAGTAATTAAGTAGCCATAGGGCCTTGGTCTATGAACTATGAAAATTTTATAATAGTTCACATTCTAAAAAGTCTTCTGAGGAATCAATCCAAGTACTAGGTGATGGTTGTCAAGATACATTAATGGGTAAGCATTTTCTATCTTTGTCTGGAGAGCAAAACTAGAATGTTGAAGACCACCCAGAGAAAACAGGCAGATATTAGAATATAGGAGAGCATCTTCGTTGGAAAATAAGAACTGGCATATGATAATCCCATATTGAAGTCTATTGACTCCTATCATTGTGGTACATAAACTTTCTTTAGTAATTGTAGCAAGTGATGGTGTTAGACAACACTATGAAATTCAGGACTAATTAGTGATCAGCATAATACTTAAAATAGAGAAACCAAAAAACATTAGGCCCCCAAATTGTAAACTAAACCAGCACCCTTCAGCCAAAACAAATAGTTTTCATAACAAGATGGTGAGTTGGACTGCAACTGCCAATAATTGAAGTCATATAAATTTAAGAGAAAACTACCGCATAGCTAAATAAAGTTAGTATGACAGCACACCCCAAAAGAACCACCTAACACATTGCATAAACAGGCAACTATAGATTTAGTCCCTAAAAAACCTTTAGATTTGGTCAATATATCAAATTACAGTTTTAAACAAAGTTTCAATTTACTGACATACTCATACCTCCAAGTCATCTAATTCACCATATGAGAACTCTGCAATTTCCAGATATCCCTTTATCTTCTTATTCTCTCCACCAACCTGCCATTCACCTGTTCCAAGTTGTCACATGATAATCTTATTAAAGAAAAAACCTAAAAGTGGTATTCTGTGTAAAAGTGAATTCTAAATGCCAACCTTTGACATCAATGGTTAACTCGTAAGTATAGCCAACACGTTTCTTGTTACGAACCGTCACCAAGTAGGCCTGTGTATTATATATTTGACAAAACAGTTAGTTCATATTGCGGATAAAGTATGCACTGATATAAAAATTAAATATGTATATTCCAACTGCCTATGGCCTAGTGCCCAAACTTCATACTAATAAGGTATTAACATTTATCGATATTATACATTTTCTATTTCCTATTTTCCTTTAATCTACTCGAGAACTCCCTTCATCCCAGTTTATGAGCCCAAGTTGGCAGGATATGCACATTAAAAAGTCGAGACAAAGACATAAGTATAACAACCAAACCACATTTCTAGAGTAAGGACACTTGGGGTCTTAGTTTGTGAAAAAGAATTCATTAAGGCATATAAAATG